AGTTGAAAAAAAAAACCAGCGTTGTCACCCCGGCCCCGCCGAGGAAACCCTAGCCTAATCAATTGTTGCCGTGACTCCGGCCGCGAGGGAAATCAAGTCGTGACGTGGTCGCCGGCTGAACACGTGGTCCACCGTCGTCACGACGTCAACCCTCACCAACGCGTCGACACCCTGCTCGCCTTCATCGCCGACACCATCACGGCGGCGTCCGCAGTCACCGACGCGTCGTGACCCGGGTGAAACGCCAAGTGCTCCCGCGTCGACGTTTCTCTCCTCCCACACACCCTAGATGTCGTTTGAAGCACCACCGCATTGCCGTCGAGCCCAGGCGAGGACCCGTCGACGGCCAACAGTAGGGTTTTTCCCGTTTTTTTCTTTGAAATTTGTATGAAAAAAATCGCTCCTTACCCAAATAATTTGGTGCACATTTTTTTCTACATTGAAATTGGTTACACATTTACTTATGCATGACACATAGCCGTGCCACTGTTAAATGAACTGACTATATCCACGATGATGTTGTGGGATGTTGGCATTGATCTAACACCTTGTTTGAAGGTGTATTGATGAAGCAAGAAATGGGATGATTCTAGTAGCGAGAATGGATCATCGTCACCGAATGCAAACAAACCTCCCAGAAACAGCTATATGAGTCACGATGAATCGTATAGTGGTAATATAAGTGTCGTGAACGTTGACCAAAAAATATCGAATACAAACTAGTGCATTGACACTTACATGTCTTTTTGAATTTGTACAGGTACATGCCAATGATGACAATGAGGAATATGATATAGATGAACAATCTTATGCAAAAAGTGTGAGCCAAGTACGTTTAAAAAAATGTAGGGCATTGATTGACATAAAAATTGCATTACCACTTATATGTTTTACTTTAGATGTGCACAGATAAATGCCGATGGTGACAATGAGCGAAATACTTTAGATGATGACAGTGATTAGAGCGACGTCGATGCATCTTATGATGAGAGCACGAGCCAAATAAGTTTTTAAAATTATTTATGGAAACTGACAGTATAACAACAGACTTACATACATGGTTATATGTCTTATTTTGCAGGGTGGTGTTGGTCGTCCTAGCGGGAACGATGATCATGTCGATGATGTTGAGTTCGACCTTGTCGTCGGCTATGATGAATATTAGGAAGAGTCACTAGATATGCATTGGCAGGTGATGGCCAAGACGTCCAGGTCAGAAGGGGAGGCATACATGTTCTAAAACCAGTACGCGAAGGAACCTGTGTTCAACACCAGGAGAGACTTGCTGAAACATAGAAAATGTCCTGCGGAAAGTATTCACTTGAGGAGGTATCTCTGTTCCAGGGCAGGAAAACGACAGGCCAAATTTTGTACCACGGAGGTCGGACCCACAGGCTTAGACCGGAGAGTCGATGCTTCAGCGAACCCCATTTAACAGCGAAGCTTGATAAAAAGCGTGAACTTTGGTATGTCAGCAGTTCCGTCGATGATCACAACCACGTTCTTGCAAGACCGGACAAAGTCCCATTTCTCCGGTCTCATAATCAGATCAAAGAATTTAAGAGAGCAAAGATCTCAGCTATATATGGCAGGAGATGGGATCAGAAAACACATTATTTTTGACAACTTCGTCAGCGGGTATGGGTCGTATGCTAACACGGTTGGGAGGAAACTGTATAATATGTGCTACAGGAAAATGATGAAACTGCTTGCACAGGGTGATGCTAACATTGAAAAGACAGGGATCCAGATTTTTTTTCTTTGAGCACACTGTTGACGCAGGCTCAAAAACTTGTTTGGCGTGATTCGCTGTCACGTCGGGACTATCTTGACTACGGTGAAGTGACCATCTTCGACGGTATGTACAAGATGAACAGGTATGGAATGCCGTTCATCCCTTTTGTGGGTCTGAACAACCACCGTTGAACTAAAAATCGGTAACGCTCGCACACTGCATCTAGGCTAATTATGTATTTTAGCCATGTTATCGTTAGAATTCCGCAAACATTTGTGTGTTTTTCAGCTGAAAATGTTGTGTTTCTTGGAATGTTCTGCGTGATCTTTGATGATGGACGGTGATTTCAGCAAATCACAGAGTGCTCATCACATCCTTGGATGCAAAAGCTAGAGGTTGGAATTGAAGCACGCGTCTGGTGGTGCTGCAGGTTGGAACATGGGCAGTAACCAGTAAGTCACACTCTTGTTGTGCCATTTCACGCTGCTTTCGTTGCACTAGCTATAGCAGGCAGGAGCAAGTCAGGTGTGCAGTGCGATGGGTGTGGGTTGCCACCGCCACCCTAAGCTATATAGACTACTTCATTCATTGTTATGTTCATTGAAGAGAAGAGATCGATAGATCGACCCAACGATCGATTCGCCATGGCCACGTTTCTGCTCTTCCTCATACTTGCCCTCGCCGCCGGCAGCAGCAACCACGGAGGAGCAGCTGCTGCCGCCGGCGACGCCCGACCTGCCCTTGCCGTCATGACGCTGCACAGTCACGACCCCGAGAGCCCCTCCGTGGCCTTCCAGACCCACGACCTCTCCTTCGCCGGCTTCACCAACGGGGGCGGCCACTGGCAGGCTTTCCCAGGCCTCGCCCACCTGTTCCCGACGTCCACGCCCCTCCCGTTCGGCAGCAGCTACGACGACCTCATCGGCGGCCTCGCCAAACTGCCGGGGGTGCCCCTGGGGCGGCAGGCCATGGCCGACGCCGCCAGGGTGCTCTCCGCCTACGACCCGTCCGCGGCCGCGGTCACCGATGTCGAGCCAGTCAAGCGCGCGCTGGCAGCGCTCAAGGTGATTCTAGGCGAGGCGCAGCGGCTGCAGCCCATCCACGAGACCGTCGTTCGCGGGTGGGAGAGCGAGTCCCGCGTCGCGCCCGAGCACCTGCCCTACATCGACCACTGGGACACCATATCCTACGAGATCATCCGCGCAAACCGGACGGGCAAGTGGAACGGGCCCTTCGCCAAGATGCTGGAGACCCAAGCCAACATCCGCAGCCAGGAGGAGGCGCTCGCCGTCGTCCGGGTGCTGCTCCATGCCGACTTCGAGCAGGTGCTCGAGGCTCACGGCACCAAGATCAACTTCCAGTAAACATGCATGCACGCTGCTTTAGAATTCAGATTTGTGCTCCATCTCGTATCGAGTCTACGTTTCTTTTATTAACCATGTTCGTGTTGTTACTTCACTCAGCTTGTGAGCTTCAATATGTTCTGCTCACGAAATACAATGGTGCTAAAACTTTGACATTTGAAATTTATGTTGAAACTCTGAAAGAGATTATGGATGGAAAATCACATTAACTGAGACGTGCTCTCAAATATATATCTCACAAAAGCGTCTTATGTTCAGCTCCGGCTTATTTGAATGAAGTCTTGGTTATCTCACATTTTTGTGCTGCCTGTGCCACTTTGCCGGTTCTTGCTCCGGAGGTGGGCAGGAACCAGTTGATAACACCCTCCGCATTGCGCGAAATGAAAAACTAGCGGTACCGGTTTCTACCAGGTAACGCAAAGGCGTTGGGTCCATTCTGCGATGCGTGCGTACAAATCATTCCTATACCATAGTCAATGTATCTACAGTGGCCAAACGGTTTTTTTGTGTGTATTCGCACACAATAGATACAGTGGAGCCACACCTGCACTTAACACATTGTGTCCATCTTACAGACCATGCCTCTCGGCATTTGTTTGAGGAACCGTTGGATTGGGTAGACCCGCCGTGCCGCACCACGCCCCCGCCGCCGCTGTTCTGCAATCACGCCGCCAGGAGGAAGTGGAGCGGACCTCCAAGCTTCAGCTTCGCAGGTTCGTAGTCTGGATCTGACAGCCCGAGAGTAGTAACAAAGTCGAAGTCTTTTAGTATATGTTGACGCCCTTGATTTGTGGGTCATGGAAGTCGAATCACAAATACTACATTTGTCTCTTCAATCTTTCCGGTTCATACTAGCCGCGGTAGGCTTAATTTCCCGATTGTCGACAAGAAGGAGCCTCTGGTTTCCCCTAATTCGTGCTCTATGATTTTGTCCGTTTTATGTGGGTTAGTCCCGATTTGTGATTCTGCAATTGTTCGGACAACGGGTTGTAGTTCTTATAGCTCCGGTCAGCCATCCCCAACGTACGGGTTGCATCCAAACTTGATAGGTATAAAGCTAGTTATCCCAGCTGCTTGCAGTTAGTTATCCCTCCCGATTCAAACCTACGACGTGAAGATCGAGCCACCCTGAGAGCATCCACAGTGTGCATTTTTCACTGCCTCTAAGCACTCTCTCTCTTCTTAGAGGTCGCCTCCATACACTGCACTTCACGCCTCTAAGCAAAAAATCTCTAGCATCGCCTCTTAGCTTGGAGGCTGCCTCTAGTGATTTAAATAATCAAGCAGCCCCACCCGTCAGCCTGTTTGTGCTCCCAACGATGCATGTGATGAACCAAAGTTCTCCTCCATTCAGATTACCATGCCTTTGTTTAATCAATCATGGGCCCACAATAGAGGCTGAAACAAAATGTTATACACTGCGTGGTTTTGAGATTGTTTGGAGGCAGCGCTGTGGGGTCCAGCTTAGAGGCAAGCTAGCCTCTAAGCACTATGGATGCCCTCAGGCGTGAACTCGTT